GAAGTACACTGCTGAGGGGAGCAGCGGGCGGGTCAGGAGAGGTCTGCCGTGCCATGTGGTCATCTCCAGGGCTGGCGGGAATCAAACTTATGCAGAAGCGGCTTTGGATTCTCAGTGCTGTGCTTTAACCTGCTGCGCGACCAGGGAGGGCCGTAATCAGTGTTTTGACCTGTAACTTGACTTGGACCATCAAAGGATTTCGAATCAAGGAACAGTCAGTTACATTCCTCTTTCAGAAAGAGCATTATGGAAGGGGACAGGGCAAAACCAGAGACCGGTGACCCCCAAGTATATTACTGCAAGAGATCAGGCTGAAGAGGTTGCAGTCCAGTCAAGGCAGAAGTGGCGAGGAAAACAAGGGGGGAATGAGTATTCAAAGGGATTTTGATGCTTGATGAAGAAGGAAAAGAGGAGAACTAAGAGGCTGGTGTGTAGCAGTAGTGGGACTGGCGATGTAGTAACGATATGGTGGTGGTGGCCGTGGTAGCAGCTGGTATTTAGAGTGCTTTCTATGCGCCAGACACCGTGCTAAGTGAGAGGACGTGGAGCTTGATGACTGCACTTGGGGATAAAGCAGAAGGTAGGAGTCAGTTTCTGGCTTGGTACCTGAGCAGGGATGTATGCACACTTGCTCAGGTTCCAGATGGAGTCTGACACAGAAGAGTCACTCTGGGTTCTCTGTCAAATTTCACAGCTTGAAGTGAAAGAGAGAGAACACGAGTTCACTAACCTGACCCCTGACACTGAGTTCCTTGGGACTACCAAGATTTGGCTTCCCAGCTGGTTCAAAGAGAGCACCCCCTATGAGTGCCGAGTGAAGACGCTGCCAGGTAAATGAGGGCGCAGGGCCTCCTAGGTTCAAATGTTGACTATGTCTTCCTCTCCGTAACCAAGGTGAGACTTGGCAGAGCCCTGCAAAACCACAGCAGAGTTGTTGGTGATTATTAAAGCCAATCCTTGTTTATTCACTAGACAGGGAGCCGCTGGGTTATCACGGCACATGTTTAATCTCCACCTTCCTGTAATGCCTGGATTGCCTCTTGCTAGCAAAATTTATGTACCCTGGCAAAGCGCAGTCACCTTAATATTAACCCAAGTGAGATATACCAGGAAATAATCTTTAAAAGGGAGAATAGAAGATAAAAGTTCCCTCCATATCCCCCAAAATCAAATAATAACAATGGTGGTGATGACTCCAAGTTCTACAGTGCTAACAGAGTCTAAGCACAATCCACTCAAGCCACCTCCGACCCACCTACAAGGCAGTTACTGTTATCACCCTCAGTTTACAGATGAGGAAATGAGGCTCAGAGTGGGTGAGTAACCTGGCCAGGGTCACACAGGTGCTGAGGGGTACGCTATTCCTAATGCTGAAGACCACATTCTCACCACGAGGAGATCTCAGAGACAGCTTTGAGTCATCTGCTTGTGAGACGGGGCCCTATGACCCCTCCCGCTGGCACACAGAAACCCGGCTCTCATCTTAAGCTAAGTGATCTTTTTATTAGGGTTATTTTTATAGAGGCAGTTATGTGAAATGCTCAGAGCTGCAGGTTTAGAAGATGAGAGTGATAGCAGAGGGTGGGATGGAGTTAGAAAAACAGTCTCCACCTTAGTCATCGTATTCAGATGAATCATATCAGTAGGTTGCTTCTGCTCCAGCCACACCGACATTCAGATCAGAGTTTAACTTGCTGGCTTTGGCGACCATGCAGGGGAAAGAGGACACCGTTCAAGGACGCAGACGCAGAGGTGGCCAGAAGTCAGCTCTGTGTGCCCCAATACTCAGTATTGGGGGACTGGTCCCCCAGCTGCCAAATGGCATAATCAAAGCTGGGCCTGCAGCGATGAACAGAGGCCAGGTAGCCACAAGGCGGGGCCCCAGGGGACCGTTGTCTGGTGGCTCAGCATGAAGTAGGTTCAAACACTTGTTCAAACACTTGACTCGCCAGCTGACCCCGAGCCCCCAAGAGACCGAGCTCTCCGCAGGAGCCCCAGGGTAGTCATCTGCAGGGAAACTATGGCCAGCGGCACAGGCAGCTCTGGCCCCCGGACAGGGCATGTCCTTCCCAGGGAAAGGGCCACTGGCAAGTCAACGAGGAAAAGGAAACTGCCTTGACAGGCACGCAGCTGGGAGGCAGTGTGTGCTCTGCCACTCTCCTCCCCGCCCCTCACCCCCCCCCGCCCCGGACTGTTCCAGACGCACCTGGCCCAGCCCGGCCCCTCTGCTATCGGACAAGGCGCAGACCACGCCACCCTGATCTGTGTTGGTTGGTTTTGGTTTTCACCTGGTCTAGCTCATAACATGTTTTTGGTGCTACTTTTACATAAATCACACTTCTTGGTGGCTATTTCTTATATGAAAAAGCACCTTATCCTTTGAAATGAAGTATTCTAATAGCAGTTCCTACCATTTACAAAGTACCTTGTTGCCATGTTGCGTATGTAAACGCTTTGCATACCTATTCCCATTTAATCTAAAACAACCCTGAAGTCGGGTAGCACCATCCTCTTTTTTTTTTTTATTACAAAGTTTATTTTTACATCATTTTGCACATTTTTTTTTCCATCTCGATTGTAATCCCCGCAGGTTTCCCATCACCAGATCACCCCTGTGCCACCACCCTAGTCCCGTGCATTTCCCTCCCTTCTCCCCCCCCCCCTGTTTTTGATCCCATTCCCCACTCCACCCCCACAGAATGTCTCTGGTCTATGGTTGTTCATTATTTTTGTTATTTTCTCGCCTGGTCCGTTATACTCCTGCTATGAGTGAGACCATCCGGTATTTTTCTTTATCTTTCTGGCTTATCTCACTAAGCATGATCTTTAGCACCATCCTCTTTTGAGAGAGGAGGCATTCTGGCTCAGAGAGGCTGAGCAACCCAACTCTGACTGTACAGCTGCCCACTGAGCCCGGTCGGGGTCACTGGACTTAACCACCATTGTGCAGTTCTGTTCACAGCTCACCCCCAGTAGACTGCACACTGCCTCTGTTGCTTCCCTTCCAGGGAATGTCCTGCCACTGACCTTGCATCCTAGTGACTGTCTGAAGTACAGAATTTCCACTTTCTCTATTTCTAAGGATATCTCAGAGGAGCACAGAACCTTAGTCCCATCATCTTGATGCCCTCAGGGTCTCCTCACCCAATGTCCTAATTTTACAGATGAGGAAACTGAAGCATCATTGTATAGTGGCTATGCATTACCCATGTCAATTCTGGTTTCTTCAGTGAGCAGCTGTGTGACCTTGGTCCCTTAAACTCTCTGAGACTCAGCTCCATTATCTGAGGAGAGAGCATCCCTGGCTCTATGTGTTCAGTGGGATAAAATAGCGAGAGCGCTCTGCACAGGGTATGGCAGGTAATCAGCGCTCCATAGTGCTGGCTACTATGAGGAATGGTAGACCACAGAGGCAGGCAACCAAGAGAAGGATGCTCAGCACGTCAGCAGCTAAGTCGGACCTCTAGGACTCCCAGGATAGTCTGGTTCACATGTTCTCTTACTTTCCAGAATAATAGGAGATGGAGTAAGACAGGAAGACAGGCCTGGTGTGTCAGTTCTCCCTTCCCTCTGGCCAGTGCCCACTTGCAGGGGGGCAGAGCTGGCCTCAACCCAGACATGAGGGACCCTTACCTGAACCCTGTATTTCACAAGGGCCTCCCCACATCACATGACAAAGAGTCCCCAGGGTGCCTGTCTCTCAGGGTACTCTGTGTACCTGGAGCCCTGAATTCCCCATACGAATGCCCGAAGCCTAGGTCCAGACAGAGGTGTCCCCTGTCTCCAGAGGGCAAACACTGCTAATGTGGAGACCTCAGCCCAAGGCTAGCCCGTGGTGGCTATTTGCGGGGGGCAAGGATGAATTTGGCTGTGTGCCAGGAGTCCATGTGCCTGTGGCTCACCACAGTTTGGGGGCAAGCTGGGTAAGCTAAGGACTCTGAGGGGCTGTCCCTGCACCTCCCCATGCCAGGACAGTACGCCAAGGAATTCAAGAGTCCAGACAGCAAAGCTGGCCTTCCAGGTCATTGTGAAAAGTGATTTTGTCGAGCAAGAACTTGGAGCAGATTTTACTTAATCTTTAGACATGCTGTGTGGCCCTCCATTGGTACTTCTGTCCCACCTGCAAATACTGGGGGAGAAGGGACCTTCCGAGGCTGGCCCGAGGCTGGGGGAGGGGCAGCCCCGTCACAGCACACACTTGGGACCAGGCCAGACAGGACGCCAGCCTAACCGCCCCTCTGCTCTCTGCTCACCCAGATCAGAGGTGGGCCTACTCCTTCTCGGGCGCCCTCCTGTTACTCATGGGCCTCCTGTTGGCAGGGTTCTGCTGCCTGAGCTACAGATACTTCACCAGGCTACCTCCAGCTCCCAACTCGATGGTGAGTGGTCGCCCCTGGGGCAGGGGGCCAATGCCCGGGGGGCCCACAGCAGCAGAGGGTGCCTCCCAGGGTGCCTGGCTCTCCCTGAAGAGCAGGGACCTGTGCACAAAGTAGAAAATAAAGTCCCGATCCTCCAGCCTGAGACACGGTCCAGTAGATCTCGGGGTGCACTGAGGAAGGGGAGGTGGGTGGAGCAGTGGCCCAGGCATCTTGAGAGCACAGTGTCAGGCAGGCCACACGGGACCCAGGGGGCCAAAGAGAGCCGGGAGCTGGGGCAACCGTGGAGCTCAGGGCTGTCAAACAGGCCCCGAGAACCCCCAGCTGGGAACGCATGCCCGGTGTGGCCAAATCCAGATTTTTTCAAGAGAAGTCAGAATTTCAGATTTTCATGTGAGAGACTTCCTGTGTCTTGTCTCTGAGGGCAGCTGACTTTTAATATGTGATATCCTATCCCGGCCACACAAGTCACATAGCAGCCCCCCAGCTCTGGGTCTGTCCTTAAGTAGCAGGGGCCCTCGGCAGAGCTGGCTGGGGCTTGGGGCGCTGACCCTCACCCTCCAGAGGGACAGGGGGCCTGAGGGGCTTCCTCCATGTCAAAGCCAGGCCCACTTCCTGTCCCTGCCCCTGCTTGCCCCCTACATCAGGGCCTCAGGAGCCACAAGCAGTGGGGGCCACCACCTCCAGCTCATACCCCGAGGCACCCCCAAATCCGAGACATCTGCTTCCTGGATGACCTGCCTTCTAGAGAAACTGTAACCTCAGTCTCTCCCTGGGCAACCCAGACTTTAGAAGCCGTCCTCATCTGAAGGGCTGGGAGCCCCTCCTTCTCAAAACCCCAGATTTAGAGCTATCCCAGGAAGCGAGGGGATATGGGATGTAAGCAACCCACAGGCTCTACCCCCCACCCTGCAGGACACATCCCAGGGTGCCTGAGGGAGCTCAGCCCAGGCCCTAACCAGAGTACTTATCTCCCGGCACAGAAAATCCACCACATGCTGCCCTTCCAGCCCCTGCAGCTTACCCAGGAGGACCACATGTTCATCCCCGTCTTTGAGCTCAGCAGCCCCAGCGGTGTGGCCCAGACTGTCCAATATTCGCAAGCTGTGGTCCAGGGGCCCAAGGAGCTCCCAGGAGCCCCACCGACGCACAGCCCGCCTGGGATCACCCACCTCGGGCAGCTGGACATCACCGAGCAGCCCTCCGAAGCGCCACCTCATCAGACACTGCCCCCACTGTCCTATGTCCCCCAGGTTGCTACTGAGATCACATCCCCACCTTATGCACCTCAGGAAAGCGCGGAAGCTACACCCCGACTCTACACCCCACAGGGGGTCTCTGAGGCCCAGCCCCGCTCCTTTGCCCCTCATGCTGATCAGGACAGCTTGCCGTGTTCCTACGGGATGTGGATGTATATGGAAGGCGATGGCAGAGACTCCCCCGCTGTGACGCCCTCCAGCCCCGAACACCGCAGGCCGAGAGGTCAGCTCCAGAAGGAGGCGCCAGGTGGGAACCGCATGCCAGGTGCCTTTTTGCTGCAGGAGGCGACCTCCTTGGCTACAGAGGAGCCTCAAGGAACAAAATGTCTCCATCAGCATCCGGGGATTCATAGGGACCCAAACGTGCTGCACAGAGGAGACCCAGGGACACCAGGGTACACGGCCCAGCTGCCCCTTCTCTCGTCTTTGCAGATAGAAGGCCACCCTGTGTCCCTCCCATGCATCCCCAGAGACCAGGGCCTGAGTCCCTGGGGCCTTCTGGAGTCCCTCGTGTTTCCCAAGGATGAGGGCCCACCGTCTGAGACTAAGGCCACCCCCCGAGCCACTGAGGCCTCACAGCTGGAGCAGCCTCCAGAACTGGACTCTTTCTTCAGAGACCTGGCCCTGACCGTGCAGTGGGAGCCCTGAGCACCGGCCAGGCCAGGCCCGGGGCTTCCACCCTGACCCCACCCTGCCTCACATCCTTGGTCTCACTCCAGCCCCCTAGAGCTCTGCTCATGTGGCAACCTAGCTCTGGGTGGACGGCCCTGGCGAGAACCAGAGGAAGGAGGCGCCGGACCTGCCATGGGTGACCTAACTTTGGGGCGGGAAGGCACGAACAGGGCTCCGGGCCGAGGTGCCAACATGTGCGTTGTACATAGGGGTGTGCAGGGCAGGGCAGGAGTCAGAATGCGGAACCGGTGCAGGGAGACTTCCTGGAGATGCGGGGCCCGCTCCTAAGATGCTGAGCTCAAAGTTCTTGAGAAACCCGCCTCGCTGCACCCCACTCCTGGCCCTTTCATCATCTGGTTTGAAGGAAACTAGGCCTCTGGGCCTCTGCTTCCCCATGATTCCACCTGGCCAAAGGAGCACAAGGGCCAGGCTCTCCCTGGAGCCTGGGCTCTGTCCATTTCAGGGTCACTGCCTCACACTGCAGCACTGCGAGTTCCACTGCCACAGGCTTTATCCTGAGAGTCGTGCAGGTCCACCAGGGAGGGAGACATGTTCTAGCATTCTGTGGGCAGGAGCTCCACACCCCACCCTGACAATGGGGACTTGAAAGGAGCATGGGGCCCCAGAGCCCCAGAAGGAGACGTGGCCACCAACGATATTTCACAACCCTGGAAACAGCCTCAGATCCAGCCCATCTGGGTTCAAATTCCAGCCTCACCACTTGCAAATGTGTGACTTCCAGCAAACAAATCCGTGCTTGAAACCTCGGTTTCCTCGTCTATGAAAAGGGGGTAATAACACCTACCTCGGTGCTGTGTAGGGCGAGAATGAACCGTCTGTAACTGTCAAGTGCCTGGACATGGTTGCACCCAATAAACGGTAACTTTCCGGTAGTGACTCTTTTAACCGGGAGGTCCCAGGGTACAACCCACACTCTACCCCCACCCCAGTGCAGGTTGGCAGCTGACCAGGCCTTTTCTCATGGGCTCACGCTGTCCCGATTTCCTCAGAATTGTTCCAGGAGCGGGACCAGGTTGTTCTAAGAGAAGCCAAAGGTGAGGGGCAGCAGAGCTTCCTGGGTGCAGGGTGCAGCCTCATCTAGGACCTTCTCCCGGAGGCTGTAGGCAGAGACTGTGTTGGGGAGGTCGCATGCCCACAGGGCCTCCCTGCACGGAGCTCCCAGGGCTGCGTCCTGTACGCCCACCTGACTCTGTCACCCTACCTCTGTTCCTGCCTGAATCTGCTTCCTCCAAAGAACCCCTTGCTCTGTGCTTTCGAAGTTGACCCAGTTCTTCGCACCATTTGCATCTCAGAAAACCCCTTGGAGGAGGAGGCAGGCACAGAGAGAAGGGCCTCACCCAGGGCGCCCCACGCCCAGGCCATGACATGGGCGCCCACCCTTTTTGTCCTGGTCCAGAGAAGGAGCTTTCCACACTGAGTGAGAATATGACCAACGGGCCATAAGGACGGGAAGTCGATCGTGAGGTCCCTGAGGGGCAAGCTCCCCAGCACCCTCCCGTCCCAAGCCTCTCTAACTGGTCCTGAGAAGGGGCCAAAGTCCAGCTGGCTCCCCACGACCCTCCTGAGTCCTCTCTCCTCACCCAGATAGGAGGCGCCTCTTCCTCACCGTCCCACAACCTCCCTGCACCAGGTGGAGGCATTCTTATCTGTTTATGATTAATATTTAACATCGCTTTAGGGCCAATGATTGAGGCCCACTATCTCCAAAACACAGGGTGGGCCTCCCTCCAGCACACCCAGGCCCTTCTCCCCTCTCTGCCCTTCCCCACAGCAAACAAGTCCACTTCCTCTCATTTGGGGGGAACTTGGCCAAAGGTTGGCTGTCCTCACTTTGTTTAATAATGAAAAGCAAATTAACAGCCGGGCTATTCTCACCAGGTAAGTGGGGCAGGGAGTCAGTCCCCAAGGTGTTTATCAGCAGCCATAAACATCTCTTCTCACTCACAGGGCAAGGTGACAGCCCATCTACCTCCATGACTCTCAGAGGGTAAAGTTCCGGGGGAAAAAGGTGAACTCTGAGCCCTGACCCTGGGGTCAGCCTCCTAGGTGGGCAGCCCAGGCCCGCAGACAGGGCAGAAACCAGCTGGAGAGCAGACAGGCCGGCCGAGGCCCAGGGGAGCTGAGTTGGGGCCTTGCTTTTCCTGTGTGTCCCGGGTCCTGAAGCCATTACCTGAGTCTCCACAGCCCAGCCGGGAGAAAGGTGAATCTCCCGGGTGTGCCTGCCTCTGTGCTGGAGCCCCGCCCAAGAGGAAATAGTAGTAGCAGCAGCAGGAGCAAGCAAGCAAGAAAAGAGCTATAAAAAAAAAAGCGAAGCAGGGCTCTCCCTGGTGGCGCAGCGGGTTAAAGCTCGGCATGGTGAAGCTCTCAGAAGCCGCTGCAGCCCCGGTGGATCCCCGGCCAGGGAGTGACCCACACCGCGGCAGACCTCTCCTGACCGGCGCTGCTCCCCTCAGCTGGGCACCTGTCAGTCAGCCTGTTCTGCTCCCCACTCTGTCTCTGGTGAACCCTCTCACCCATCACGCCTCTGGCCTGTACCTCAGTTCTGTAAGCATAAATAAATAAATCTATAAGGAAAAAAAGCTAACATAAATGTGTTCGGAAATTAAAAAAAAAAAAAGCGAAGCCCGCCTGAATCTTGGCCCTGCCGTGTCCGTCCTCAATCACCCTTCCTCGGGTTAACTTTCCGGGAAGAATCATATTGTTGATTTTACTGGGAAGTGGGGCTCAGAGAAGTTACTCGCCCGAGTTGATTTTGTAAACTTGCCTCAGCATGAGAATCCTCCGGAGGGTTTGCTAAAAATACAGCTTGCCCAGCCCCTCTCCGGACCTGCTAAATCCACTGCCCCGGGAATCTAGATGTTTATAAAGTCCTTTGGCCATTTCTGGCAGTGAAGTGTAGGGGAACATGTCCTTATACCAAGCGCCCCCCAAGAGACTCCAACGCCCTCCACCCCTGCATTCTGCCTCCGGATGGGGGTTTGCAGGTCACAGCGGTTCCTTTAGAGCAGCCTCCCAGAGGTGCGCCACGCACAGGGCAGCCCGGCGCGCACCCCTCTGCCTGAGCAGCGGAGGCTGGGAGTCGGGGCGCAGAGCCCGCCATCTTGGCTTTTGGAGGTGGCGCCGGCGGGACCCTTTTTCACTGCAGGTAACGCCCTTTGCTGTCTGATTTTCTCCTCAGTAAACACTGTCGGGGATAAGCCAGAGGCCATGGACCACCCACGGGCCAATAAACTTCTTTTCCTTTTGCCGCCTCACGCCCTGAGTAAATAAACGCTTGCTGTCTGTGCGTCAGCTTTGGGGTCTTGTCTAGTGCGCTGAAGCTGGTAGCTGAGGACTCCCAAACCAGGTCTTTTCTTCCGTCCTTTATGTTCTCCAATCCACCCTCGCCCCCCAACTGGATTACCCTTAATCTTATTTCAACCGGCGAAGGCAGCAGACCGCTGGCCCCCCAAACTCCTGGCCCTGCACTGTACAGGAGTTCCCTGAGTTTCCACCCAGGGACTAAGTAGGACCGCTAGCCCCCTGCTCAGTTCCTGAGCGGCTTGAGTTCCTTTTCCCTTCCCACTTGAAGGAGGAAGGGGCATAAGGAATAGTTTGTTCTGACCTGTACGCAAACGGAATTAAGTGCTAGAGCAACCGCAGGAGGGAAGGGAAGGGAGACTGGCTGGAGCAACGTATTGGGTCAGAGAATTCTCTGCATGGCCACCCGGTGGCGCCAGCGGTCTAAACCAGTTTGGTTGCTGCCTGAAAGTGGTGTGGACCTTTGGGGTGGCTGGTAAGTGAAACAGGGTTCAAAGGATGGTCCTTTGTGTCCAGAGAAGACAGTGAAAAGAAGAGAAAAGAGAAGGAAAACGGATAAAGAAGGAAATATTCTCAGGAGCACTCAAGGTAATATACTAGGCATTTTACTCCTTTAACCTCTCTTGAATCTCACCACCATTCTGCAAGACAAGTAGTCGTAGAGGCTGGGATTTAACACCCTTCATGAGTACAGGTAGGTGCCAGAGACTTAAACCAGGGTTTGTGCAACTCCATGTCATCCAGCTTTTGCTCAGCCTGAGGGTTGGCTGTGTTTGAGCCAAGGCATGCCAGGATGTCCTGGTAAGGGCCAGGAAGAGCTCTGGGCCTGTCTGGGGAGTACATGGGGATGCAGACCGGTTTGTATGTCTGTTTCATGCTGGCTGGATACTGCCCCTGTTTGCTGTACAGATTTGCGCTCACCCCTCCCAGTAAAGGTATAAGTATGGGTCTCAAAGCCCTTCTTAGGCTTGGCTCATCCAAGGTAGGAAGAGTTACCATGCTCTCCTCCCAAGGACACTCTTAGTACCCAGCCTAAGGTGGGGTAGGGGGTTCCAAAGGGGCAGGAGATTGCTTCTGAGCTGACTCTGCCTGCCTCTCCCCAGGGTGCAGATTCCAGGCACTAGGAATGACATGGCCAATGTCACTGGCCCCATGAGGCCCCAAGATGAGGTGAGGTGAGTAGCTGTTTTCTGGACTGTGACTCAGGTACACTTGGCTCCCTGACACAAGCTATGCAACCTCTGTCGTCAGACACGGTACGGATGGAGGGGAATTGCTCTGAAAAATCAGACTTTCCACGCTAACTTATGTTATGACCTCCCTTTTTTGTATAACCGTAATATCAAAATATTCTGAGCAACTTTCAGCTTACAATTGGACTGCCTCGGCTGCACAAG